GAATGCCGATAAATACAAGAAACAATCAAAACAAAAAATAGGGCAGAGGCCATAAATAGGAAATAATAAATTTAAAATAAAATAAAAAAAAATTTAAGAACACTAACAACGGCAAGTGTTGGAGGGTACCTACCTCCAGCAATTGGAACTTTCATATATTGCTAGTAGGAAGGAAAAATGTCACAGCCGTATTCGAAAACACTTTGGTGGGTTTTCTAAATAAAGTTAAACTTTAAATAAAGTTAAACATTTAACTTATTTAAACTTTAAATAAAGTTAACTTTAAATAAAGTTAAACATTTAACTTTAAACTCCCACTCCTCGGTATTTACCCAAAAGAAATGAAAATGTATGTCCACACAAAAACCTGTATCAAATGTTTAAAGCACCTTTATTCAAATAGCCCCAAACTGGAAGCAACCCAAATATCCATCGATTAGTGAATGAATATACAATTTGTGACACTCCACATGATGGATTACTCATCGATAAAGAAGGAATAATCCATTGATATATGCAATAACAAGGATGAATCTCAAACATATTCTGCCATATAAAAAAGAGATAAAGGCATATATTCATTACAAGTTATTTCATTTATGTCACATTATATTGCACTCCTGAAAAGGCAAAAGTGTAGGACCAAAAGCAGATCAGTGGTTACCAAGGGCAAGAACTGGGGGAAATGGATTGTTTGCAAAAGGAGAATAAGGAAACTCTCTGAGATGATGAAAATGTTTTATATCTTAGCTGTGGTGGTAGTTACATAACTTCACATACTGGTCAAAAACTCTTTAGACTCTACACTTAGAAAGGTGATTTTTCTTCTATATAACTTATACCTCAAGTAAAAATTAGAGGAATACAGTAAGTCACAAAAAGCACATATGGTAAAAAGTAAGTCTCCTTCCCATCTAACTACACAAACTTATTTAGACTTTCCAAAAACAACCATTCCCACCAACTAGTTATATACCTTCCAGAGATATTATGCATATCAGGCAGATAATCCTATAAACATTTATGCCACTTACCACTTTCTTCTTTTTTTACCCAATGACAAGCATCCAGTGGATCTTGATTTTTTTCTTTAATTAAAATAATTTAGGGACTTCCCTGGTGGCGCAGTGGTTAAGAATCCGCCTGCTAATGCAGGGGACATGGGTTCAAGCCCTGGTCCGGGAAGATCCCACATTTCGTGGAGCAACTAAGCCCGTGTGCCACAACTACTGAGCCTGCGCTCTAGAGCCCGCGAGCCACAACTACTGAGCCCGCGTGTTGCAACTACTGAAGCCCGCGTACCTAGAGCCTGTGCTCCGCAACAAGAGAAGCCACTGCAATGAGAAGCCCGCACACTGTCACCAGAGAAAGCCCGCACACAGCAACGAAGACCAAACGTAGCCAAAAATTAATTTAAAAAAATAATAATTTAGATATTGTCCCATATCAACACATATACAACTGCCTTATCATGCTACATAATATAAATGTGCCATTACACTACTAATGAACATTTAGATAGCTCAAAATATTTTTTTATTACAAACAATGATGCAAGGATGAATTTTTTGGACATTCCTTCATTAGCACTTGTAGTAGATTCCAAGAATTATAATTCTTGCATTATAAGATACCATATTTTATTTTTAAATAGATATTGCCAAAATGTCCCCCCCCCCGCAAAAGATGTACTTATTTATAATCCTGCCAGTGGCACTTGAAAGTACTTGTTTACACATATCCTCTCTAATAAAAGGTTTTCTCAGCCTTTGTCTTCATCACACTGATATATGAAAATAGTGTCTCATAGTTTTAGCTTGTATTTTGCATGTTACCTGGTTTAATCTCCTTTCCCCCACCCCTCTCTCTTAATTGCCCTGGATGGGACCCATGGTACATTTTGTCAGCAGGACATGAATATTCACATAAAGTGGCATAAATAAGGAATATATATAGATTCACTTCAGTTCAAGTAAGGTTTTGACCACCAAATGAAACTGCATCAAACTTATATTTGTTTTCAATTTTCCAGGTTTTTAGTATTGCAGAATTAAGGAGGAGGGATTTCTAAACCCACGTAACAGGAAAAAAAAAAACTTAGATCAGCTCTAACACAGTAGCTTTCAGTGATCCATTGCTACGTATATTTAAAGTAAAGCTAATCAAAAGTAAATAAAATTTAAAATTCAGTTCCTCAGTTGCACTGATCACATTTCAGGCACCCACTAGGCACATGAGGCTAGTGGCTACCATATGGGACAACGCAGATATGCACAATTCCCTCTTCCCCAGAAGACAGCAAGAGTAATTTCAACCTTAATAAACTCACGATCCTTCTCCCCTCAAAACAGACTTTTCAGTCATCTTATTTTTATGTACAATAACATATGCAGGCTTCAAATGGCAGCAGCTTGTAGGATACCAACTATAAAGTCTGAATAAAAATAGAAACCATGTGTTAGAAAGCACTGGAAAGCTGCAGACAAAAATTAGTCTCCAGGGCTTCCCTGGTGGCGCAGTGGTTGAGAATCTGCCTGCCAATGCAGGAGACATGGGTTCGAGCCCTGGTCTGGGAAGATCCCACATGCCATGGAGCAACTGGGCCTGTGAGCCACAACTACTGAGCCTGCGCGTCTGGAGCCTGTGCTCCACAACAAGAGAGGCCGCGACAGTGAGAGCCCGCGCACCACGATGAAGAGTGGCCCCCGCTTGCCGCAACTGGAGAAAGCCCTCGCACAGAAACGAAGACCTAACACAGCCAAAAATAAAGAAAGAAAGAAAGAATTATTAAAAAAAAAAATTAGTCTCCAGAGTCCAGAGACAGAAGAAACTTGGAAAGGTAAACTGGCATCTACCGTCAATATCTGACTGTGTTAATATCCAATTCTGAAACAGGAGGTGTTATGTAATTCTGTCTGCCTAGTGAAGGAAAGATGAACACTTTCTGGAAGAAGATAAACATCACCTGAGACTGCATTTCTTTTCTTATGCAATATCTGAGCTTAAGCAAAACGTATCAGGTACAGGGAAGACAGAACCTAGCAAACACCAAAAGAAAAGAAAAGAGGGCAATTATATATATATAATAAAAATATACCCACAATATGGAAAGTTACCCACCTTATTTTATGAGGCCAGCATTACCTTGATATCAGAAGTCTGATTAAAAATTCTTTGAGAAAGAGTAATTGCAGACCAGTCTCTTGTAAATATAAATACAAAGTTCTCAATAAAATGTAGCAAACCAAATTGAGCTTTTTATATATGAGAGACAGACACAGACCCTGACAGAGAGACAGAGAGAATAAAATATATGCCATATAAACAAATGCAGAGAATACATTTGGTCAAATTTTGTACACACAATTATGAAAAAATTATACAGATTGCGAAGAGCAGGGGACGGGAAAATGGGGAGTTTCTAATCCATGGGTTTAAAGTGGTTGCTGGGGGTTTGGGGGAGAGAGGGATGAAGATACAGAACACAGAGGATTTCTAGAGCAGTGAAACTACTCTATATGATACCACAATGATGGATACATGTCATTATACACTTGCCCAAACTCATAGAATGTACAACATCAGGAGTGAACCCTAATGAAAATTATGAACTTTGGATGCTAATGATGTGCCAAAAGAGGCTCATCAACTGTAAAACATGCACCACTCTGGTAGAGGATACTGATAATGGGTGAGGTTATCTATGCATGTGTCGAGGCAGGGAGTATATAGGAAATCTCTGTACCTTCAGCTTAATATTGCTGTGAACCCAAAACTGCTCTTAAAAAACAAAGTTTGAGCTTCCCTGGTGGCACAGTGGTTGAGAGTCCGCCTGCCAATGCAGGGGACACAGGTTCGCGCCCCGGTCCGGGAGGATCCCACATGCCGCTGAGCGGCTGGGCCCGTGAGCCATGGCCGCTGAGCCTGCGCATCCGGAGCCTGTGCTCCACAACGGGAGAGGCCACAACAGTGAGAGGCCCGCGTACCGCAAAAAAATAAATAAAGTTCATCCCAAAATATCATATAATAAAATAAGATTAGGAATATTTCCCTGATCTGCTTTTTTTAACATTTACAAAAATATACATAAAATATCATTCTCAATGATGAGATATTAAGCCCTCACCTCTTCCTGGATATCATAAATTAAACAATGGCCACTATCACCACTTCTGTTCAACACTATCCTGGAAATCCTGCCAGTGTGATAATGCAATAAAGAAAATTAGTCATGAGGATTGGAAGATAAAGAATAAAACAAATATTAAACCAGGTGGCAAAATTGTATATACAAAAATTACAAATCAATCCACAAACTACTAGCAATGATAAATGAATTTAGAAAGGTTGCTAGATATAAGGTCATCAAAATAAAATCAAATTTATTTCCATATAGCAAACAAGTGGAAAAGGTATTTTTAAAATTATACAATGTCGGGACTTCCCCGGTGGTCCAGGGGTTAAGACTCCACACTTCCAATGCAAGGGGCGCAGGTTTGATCCCTGGTCCAGGAACTAAGATCCCACACGCACCGTGGCATGACCAAAAAATAAAAAACAAAAACAAAATAAAATTATACAATGTATAATAACATCAGAAATATTATTTATCTGAGAAAAACATAACAGATGTGCAAGCCACTGTACTGAAAACAAAACAGTACTGAAAAATTAAAGAAAGCCCAAATAAATTGTATCTGTGAATTGAAAGATTCAACATGTCAATTCTTTCCAAATTGATTTAATACCAACCTGATAAAAATCATAGCTGAGTGTTTTGGATAACTGACAAATGGATACTAAAATTTATCTGGAAATGTAAACTGCTAAGAGTAGACAAAACAATATTAAAGAAGCAGAACAAATTTGGGAGACTTAGCCAGATAATCAAGATCTGTCATAAAGATTTATAGCCACAAATTGGAAACAACACAAAACCCATCAGGCTACCCCATGCATGACTTTTGCAATTCTCTCATCTTAAGGACTGCAACCATACTGTGAATATGAGAACTTCAAGAGCATTGAGGTCACAGGAGGAGAAACAAATCTTACGCCGGGGATGAAACAGTTTCTGAATTTAACATCACAGGTCACTGCATGGGGCAGGTTGGTGGGGATAAGGTCAATGTATCTCTGGATCTCATGCACCACAGCATCCATGTAGGGCATGTGGCTCCTGTCCTGCATGCAGGGACTCTGGTTTCTGCCAATCACACAGTCAATCTCTTTCTGGACTTTAGCTGATAAGACACAAGTGAGACTGATGGAGAAACAGGAAAATACATACCACATTTGCATACCAATTAAGAGTTACATAAAGCTCTGTGAAGGTGTTCCAACATCATTATAAACATCAATTACAGGCCCAGAAGGACACCTAGACATACAGAGTGAGTTGCCATAATATAGACACAAATGACTTTCATACAAGCTAGGCTTTGAGATAAATCTGTGCACACCTATATATTAGCATACAAACTCATTAATACAAATAGAAATTATGAAATGCTTCAAATATAAATATTACATTTTTTTTGAGGAAGAGCTATTTTACTTTTCTATTAAACATTCTTCCAAAAACATTATTTTACCCCACATCTTACCGAGTTATTAGAAATAACATTAGCATTAGAAAAACTAGAAAGGTAAAAATAGGGAAAACACATCACATGGCAAAGTCTGATATGAAATTTACCTTTAAAAAAAAGGGAATAAAAAGTAGTATTCCTTTAAATTGAATAAAAAAAAACTAGGAAGGGGCTTCCCTGGTGGTGCAGTGGTTGAGAGTCCGCCTGCCGATGCAGGGGACGCGGGTTCTTGCCCCGGTCCGGGAGGATCCCACGTGCCGCGGAGCAGCTGGGCCCGTGAGCCGTGGCCGCTGGGCCTGCGCGTCCGGAGGCTGTGCTCCACAGCGGGAGAGGCCGCAGCGGTGAGAGGCCCACGTACCGCAAAAAAAAAAACCAAAAAAACTAGGAAGGTAAATTAAATGTGGTTGTTCAACTAAACATATGAAAAGGGAAAATTATAACAAAGGAAGGAGAGTTTTACAAATTTAATTAAGTTAATACGAGATTATAATTTGAAAACTGTGCATCTCAAAGCAAACTTTATTTGTTCAATTATTTTTAACAACAGTGTTTTATGATTCTAATACACTGATTTTTTTCCAAGAAGGAAACTCACTTAAAAATATTTTTGTTTTAAAAAATAGGCCTTTTTCCAGCTATATATTTTTTCTCCCCAGCTTTGATCATATTTCTTTGATTTGGGAAGAAAATACTGTTTTGATGGCATGAAATGCAAAACTGTAAAGATTTAAAAAAAAAAAAATCCCAGTATAGAATTTTATAAATTATCAGTGGAAAACAGATTAAGGTCATTAAGTGCACAACACTAATTACTGGCCAGCTACTGGTATTCTGTTTCTTCCCTAGTTCTCCCAAGGAAAACTTAAATTGAGTCTTCAGCAGAATAATCCTCAAATATACTTTTTTTTTTTTTTTTTTTTTTTTTGTGGCGGGGGCGCCCTCTCTCACTGTTGTGGCCTCTCCTGTTGCGGAGCACAGGCTCCGGACGCGCAGGCTCAGAGGC